ACTCCCTTGATCAATACAGTGGCTGTGATGAGAGGCTGGGTATTGCAGCATCATCTCCAGGAGGGGGAGGAAGGCAGGATAAAATCTCTCTCGATAGGTCAAATTGATGGGTTTGCTCCACCTGCATGGCCTGAACCCTGGTCTCCAAGCTTCCTAAACGGTCCTATGTCTCATTCACTCGCCATTGTATACCATCCATCCTGCCAACGTACATTCTCAATCTCTCATCAAAGGTACTCATCTCTCTTCTTGCTGCAAGGGACTCACTGCTGACATTGGATGCGAAATTTCTTGTGATTGCCATATCATTCTGCACCTGCTGGATGGTGGTACTCATTGCTCCAAATGATTGCTGAAGACTCTGTATGTCTAGGTTGTGTCTTGTCATAGTGGCAAACACTACCTCAATAACCGGGTATTGGTCAACCGGTGGTGGAGGAACTTGTGGCATCTCGAAGTTCTTAGATGCTTGTCCTTCCTTAGCCTGTTGCTATCGGCGTCGCTCGTTTTTAACTTTTGTTGTGTTGGCTTGATAGTCTTGCGGGCTATGATGTGATTATTGGATTGGTATAATTCATAAACTTTGGATATAGTGCTGAATAGATTAACCAATACTTGTGATGCAATACTTGACATTATCTATGCACGCTATTCATGCTTAACATGTTAGGTGAATGATTGAATTTTGAACATAAAGTAGGAAAAAAATGATAACCCTCTATTGAATTAACACGTAAATCACCTTAAGACAGTTTGGAATTGGTTGAGCTATTATAGGGAGCATTGAGATAAGCGGGGGCTCCGTACATGAAATTTTATCGTGTGGATTGCCTAGACCAATGAGGTGAAGATTAGGTGAAAATCTTAAATTGGGAGTTGGTTTTGGAAACTAAATGTCTAGAATAATAAGGGCATAAAATTAATTTGTGAAAATAAGACACATCTTTTCATGCCTTCATGACTCGAGCAAGTAAGCTTACAGGATATTTCAAAATCTGGTGCCCTAAGATCAACTGGCCTGGGAGTCACCGGCCTAAAGCTCACTAAAGGGGGTCATATAGAAAGCAAGAGGGAAAGAGGTTAATAAAAAGTCATTTGACCGAGCCTTTATAACTCGAGGAAATAAGTCTGCAAGGGTTTAAAACCTGGCGCCCTAAAGCCAACTGATTTGGGAGTCACCGGCCTAAAGCTCGTTACATAGGTTAAAAAAAATGAAAAGTGAGAAAAACAAAAGAGAGACAATAACATGAAGAAAAGCCCTTAGACATTTGGTTGAGGAAACTATACCTTTGAGGCGAGGTAAGTAACATATTTTAATCTTAAGTGTCAAAGCAATCAAACTTGGGAGAGCCTTCACTTGTTGAAATGTAAACTTGTGATAGTGAGATTAATCCAAACTACGAAAGGGTGAGGACTACAACTATGTAAACTCCTAATTTTAAAACACAATCCTGAGATAATTGAGTGAAAAGAATAAGTTTGGGGGCTTGTGTATCTCTCGAGCGAGTAAGGATACATTTGACCACTTGGGGTCGGGACTCAACCCATCGTGAATTTGATATGTTGGCACATCAAGTATGCATTCAACAGATAAAGGTTGATGTCATTTTTGCACTGATAAATTTTCATAAAGTCAAATACTTAGTCCAATCCTGAGCCACGAAATGGTATTAAGCCATGTTTGTTCAAAATTAAGTCACTATCTTGCTTGAGGACAAATAATAGTTCAAGTTTGGGGGATTTGATAAGTGTGTTTTTGTACATTTATTTAGATCACAAACATGACTTAATTACGAGTAAAATATTTAAATTGTGACTTAATCTCGTTGAATTCATGCAATGTAGGTGTTTCTATGAAAATGGTGAGATTCAGGAGAATAGAGCCGGAATGGACTAAAATGGAGCAAAGTGATAGTTCAGGGACTAAGGATGCAAATATTCAAAAGTTGAACTAAAAGGCAACTCAGGAATGCAAAGATGATAAGTATGAACTCAAAAGCGAAGAAGAAGGAGTTGCAAAAGGACTAAAATGAAGAAAAATGAAAGTTCAACGACCAAAATAGACATTTTGCATAGTTGGTAGCACAGCGGTCCCTCTATGCGGTCGCATAGAGGCCTCCCGAGAAATTTTTCTCAAATTTTTTTACTCTATGCGGCCACATAAAAATGTACTATGCGGTCGAATTGAACAAATTCTGGGGCCGATTCTACAGTTTTCTTATACGACTAAAACTCTTTTTTTGGTAACCTAATTTTCACATGATATAAATACCAAAATACGTCCAGAAAGAAGGAGAACGTATTGGAGGCAGAAAAACACTTCTTGGAGAGGATTTTGAGCGTAAGAACGAAGATTTACATGGAAGCTTCAAGATTTCTCAAGATTTCATAACCCGGTGATGCCTTTTATCCAAAATCTGGTGTATTCTTTTATTTTAACCATGTCAGGCTAGATTTTCATGTGCTAGAGATCAATGTACTATGTAATTTGATCTTTAATTTTCTAGTTTTGCAATTTGACATTAGGACATATTTATATTGTTTTGAATGATTTATATGCAATTATTGTTTCCGCAATTAAGGACCCATAATTGTGTGAGTTTAGGTGATTTATTCTTGCATTCGAGAGAATTTGAATAGGTTCGACATAATATAAATCATCATAGGGTCCGATAGGGAATAGAAATATATCGCTATGCCCTACGTGAATCTTTAAGTGTTCATAAAACTGCATGCATTTTTACGTATGCACTTGTCACAGAAATATAGGCCGGTGGTATGTAGAAATAGGTTCGATACATCTCGAAAGAGAGTATTGGGTAGACTTAGGAACATTGATTCATCACAATTGAAGTGTGTTGTTACATTGTAAAACTAGGGTTTTAAAGTGATAATTCCATGGAAAATCGTGATTCCAGTGTGTTTAATTTCTATTGATTACAACAAACGTGCGTTCTCAACATTTGATTTCATTCTAGAGTGTTAAAAATATTATTTTATATATTTAATTTAATTCAATTATAAAAATTGCATAATTAGGGTTTTAATTAGGTTCACATTCACTTTAGTAATTTAGTTTCGGTTAAGGCGACGATAGGTAAAATTGAACTAATCAATCTCTGTGAGACGATAGTCGAACTCATTTAATCAACTTTATTACTTGTTAACGAACCGTACACTTGCGGTAGTTTTAAATTGAAAGAAGTAATTTCGTGAACAGAAAGTATGGAAAGAATGGAAAATAAGATAATAGATACGAATAATAGAATAGATAAAGTACACGAAACATTGGGAGAAATACAATACAGGATCAGAAATCTAGAAACAAAAGGAAAAACAACCTATAGATAATTATACAGAAAATAATTATTTGGAAACAGAAAATCAGAAAGAAATAATTTGTCAAATATCTAGAGTAAAGACAACAAAAAGTATCAGAATACCTATAGAAGTACAAATAAACAAAATAATAAAATTAAATTTGATAGCATTAATATATACATGTTGTACATTTAATATAATCAAAAAAAATTTAGTGTTAGAAGATTGTATGCATAAATTAGAATATGAAATAAGAGGAAGTCAAATTGACGGTAATAAAATGGGATTCGAAGAGAGACTTTTTTAATGATTGTAAGATTAAATTTCAAGAAAGACAGTATAATTTAACGACTACATTAGTTAGCGCATTGATAAAAGATGAATTTGTTATAAGAATAAAATTCTTACTTAGTAGAAACAGAAGTTTAACAATTACTCCTAATGTTATAATTTTTGGAAAAGATACTTCTATTATTAATACTATATAATCATACCAAGAAATAAAGAATTGATAGTTTTTAACAAAACATCTTCTAAAATAGATAGTATAGACAAAATTTTAGAATTAGTTGAAAATATTCAAATAATAGGAGAAGACCCTATAAAACATTGGAATAAAAATAAAATAGAAGCTAAATTAGAAATAATAAATGAAAACATAAAAATTAAAACAGCAGAAATAAAGCATACGAATCAAGATATAGAAGATTTTAACATATGGATTAAAGAATTATTAGATTTAAAAGTAATAAGACTGTCTAGCAGTCAACTTAGATCAACAGTCTTTATAGTTAGAAATCATAGTGAAATGAAAAGAGGAAAAACAAGAATGGTTATAAACTATAAAAGATCAAACGATAATACTGTAGAAGATGGATATAAGATACCAGATAAGGATATGTTAATAAATAAAATACAAAATAACAAGATATTTTTTAAATTTGATTGTAAATCTGGATTTTGGCAAATAAAAATGGCAAAAGAATATATTCCTTGGACAACTTTTACTACTTCATTAGAACATTTTGAATGATTAGTCATGCCTTTTGGATTAAAAAATGCACCCTCTATATTTAATTCTCTTCCATTTGTTTGTGTATATATAGATGATATTCTAGTACATAGTAAAAACTATAAAGAACATATGAAACATTTAGAATGGGAAGTGTGTATAAATCGTTTAAATGATAAATAAATAAAAATAAGTTATTACTAAGTAAATAATACGTATAAATTCTACAAAAACACATAGATAAAAATAATTCGACCGTCTATTAACATTAACAAAGCATGCGCTGAAATAATGTACATAATACCACAAGGACCTCATTTTAGCCCTTGTTTGATTCTTATTATTTTCCCATTAAAATAAAAAATACTACTTCTATCCATCACATCGAGTCATCGTATTTAAATTTCTATCTCTTGTTAGGACCCGTAACGATTATATTTTTTATTTTCATTTTACATAAATGGAAAATAAACGGGCCTTAGTAGGACTAAACTGTAAAAAAAGGAAAAAAAAGAAGAGGATAACCCTGTTTGTTTTTCATTATTTGCCTATTAAAATAAAAAATATAACCGTTATTCATCATATCAAATCATCATATTTAACTTTCTAACTCTTATGTGGAATCTATAATGACTATATTTTTCATTCTCGTTTTTACATTAACGTGACTGGATCCAACCCTCTCTTTTCTAGTTTCTACTAGTCATATCTGTTCATCGGACAGGTGTCAGATGATTACGTCTACTGGAGACAAATTGACGAATTACTAACCGTACGCATGTAATCTTCACTATCAATTCTGCATTCTTTTCTCACTCCGTAAATAACCCTATCCCGCACACCTCCACCCAAATCCCTAGTACAGACCCTCGAACATTCGGACCAAACGCTCCTTTTCTCCGTTTCTCGGCAAGGTATACTTTCTATTCTCTCTCAAAATAATTATATGATTTGATTCGTGTGAGTCATTTTTCAATTTACGAAATTTATTTTGTGTTTGTTTTCTCAATTCTTCTTCTTCTTCTTTGTTCAATTTTCTATTAATAACGTAGGCCTCGAATTTTATTTTTCTTTTTGTGAATTTTCTTACGGGGAACCATTTCTTTGGAAGCAGGTTTTGTTGTGGGTTAATTTTTGGCATTTTTCTTTTTAATTTACATGCGTGAAGGGAATATTAAAAATGCTACCTTTAGGGTTTTGCTTGTTGATTTTTTTTCCCTTTTAAATTATTTGATTTTTTAATTTATGATTTCTTTGCATGCTTTTATCTGAAGGAAACAAAACAGGAACTAGAGGAATTTGGTTTTTGAATGAATTTGAACAGTAAATTAATTTAATTTTAATGTATAAAGTCTTCAAAATAATTTGGGGTTGTACCTAGGATATGGATCTTGCTGTAATTTTTATTTGTTGTTTCTAAAGTTTCATATAGCATTTAGTCGATTTTGAAGTTGATGCAAATGAAGCAAATTTTTTCTGGTGTAAATTTTACAATGAATTCAGGAAAGATGGGCCGCTCAAGCAGAACTATCTACGTGGGCAATCTTCCTGGGGATATTCGTGAGAGTGAAGTTGAAGATTTGTTTTACAAGGTTTGTTTGGGTATTTGTTGGATTTTCCATTGTACGGAGAAATTTTGTGCACTTGTGGTTTATATATTCGATGTTTTATTGAAAGTACACGTATATTGCAACTCGTTGCAGTTTTTGGTATTACATTATATGCAACAGTTTTCAGCTCTTCTGCCATTAAATTAAATTAAATTTTATGCATTATTTCACTTTACATGTAAAATAGGATGATTTCCAGATAAAAGTAGTGCAATTTGCATTTATGTGTTGATTGTAGGACTAGCCATGTTTTAGGGATTCTTTTCTTTCAAGTTGGAGATTGAGTTTATTGAAATGGCTTAGAACTAACTTGCTAATGCAATTATTCTGTGCTGGTGATTCTACTGCAGTATGGGACCATTGTCGAAATTGATTTAAAAATTCCTCCAAGACCACCTGGTTATGCTTTTGTAGAGGTGAGCTTGCCCCCTTAAAACTTGAGGTAGATATAGAATTGTTAGATAAAATTATATGCTAGCTTAGTCACAGCAATAGAATTAATTAGTTTGCAGAGAATTCCTTTAGCTGTCCTTAACACTAGGTATGCCGGAATGGTTAATTTTGGTGAATTACTTGATTTAATTGTCTAATCAAGCTTTCCTAATACCCTTACATTTCAGTTTGAAGATTATCGTGATGCTGATGACGCCATTCGTGGCCGAGATGGTTATGATTTTGATGGTCATCGATTGAGGGTCAGTTAAAAATTAGTATTTTGTTTAACTAATAAGGTAATCGTTCATTCTCTTGCATCTTACTATATTTGTGTATGTAATTGTAGGTTGAACTTGCACATGGAGGGAGAGGATCATCATATGATCGCTATAGTAGTTACAGCAGTGGTGGTAGTCGTGGTGGACTTTCAAGGCGTTCTGACTATAGAGGTAGTTCTGTTGTACTCTCATTCTTACTCTTTACTTTTTACATTCTTCATACTTAATGACTATCCTGTAAATTACCCATTTTTTTAATGTTAATATTATTTGTAGTTTTGGTGACTGGGCTGCCTTCTTCTGCTTCATGGCAAGACTTAAAGGTAAGAGAACTCCTCAATCCTATTTATTGCATTGTGTTAATAGGGAGAGCTGTGCTTTGCTGCTTTGGTGTCTTAAAATATATTGTTGCTGCTAGGATCACATGCGTCGAGCCGGGGATGTCTGCTTCTCTCAAGTTTATCGCGATCGAGATGGTAACTCTTTTTACTTTAGAACATCTTCTTTTTTATTGTTATTAGGCAGAACTTTTCATTGCTTCAAATTCATATAAATTAAATTTTTTTAGTTTGGAAGCCTCTTGTGCATTTGTAGAGAGGTGAGGGCTAACTTGTTCTTCTAACCAAACAAAGAAAATTAACTTCAGAAACTCTTCTTTGGCTTAGCTGCTACAGAAATTATGCATCTGATCTAGGTTGAAATTCATGGATGCTACTCTCCTCACGCCTAGAGTACCTAAAGCAAAGGGAAAGGTGGGGAAAAGCTGTAGTTGGTCTTTGGAATACCGAATATGTGATCATTCAGAGTAAAGAACCCTAATTGTCTATCAGCTCCCATTCACTGAATTACACAAATATAGCAATTTTCAGTACGATAGGCCTTTTTTGAGATTTCAATATGTAATGCTTTCATCTACTTGGCATTTAAGCCTATATATTTTTAAGTTTTTGCGGATAAGCTGCACAAACGGCTGATATTTGGAACTCATTGTTGATACTCGGTTAAGGGGAAACATTGCCCTCCTTGTTGGGATTATGTTATTGAGGATGATTTGCACGTTTGTTGTGTGTGTTCAGTATCGTAAATTGGCTTGTTCAAGAAGAAGGATCACCCCCCTTGTGTTGAAAGTAAGAAATACATAGCAAAGCGTAAAATCCCTTTCAAATATATCTGCCTACCAAGAACTTATAAAGCAAAACTCTATTTTTAATATCTAACATAATTTTTATCGTTCACTTTCAGCTTGAAAACTAGGAATATGGACAAAGATAAAGCGAGCTAGTCTGGAAGATGCAGCTTATATTGTTCGAAATTAAGTGCAGAAATATTTTAATCTTGAACTTCTTTCTCAGTTGTCGAGGGATACATCTGAATGTGAAGTTGGTGTCTAAACTTAGCATCCCATTTCACGTAGTTTAGATATGTATGGTATATTGGAGTTTCATTCTGTTAGCCAGACCAAGAAAAAGTCAGCCTTCTTGAATACACACTTCATAGGCGGATCAGTATATTCTAAATTTTGTTGTGGTTGTACTTGTCGTCGTGTTTTGGAGTTGATTCTTTTTTTAATATGTTTGTGATCTGCCATATTTCTTATGGAAATCTGCGATGTGTTAAACTAAAATCTCCATGGTCTTTTAAATGGCTTTCAATCATGGGTTATGCTAATCTTCTGTCTTTTTCTTCCCTCCCTGATGGTGTTCTTGGTGAAAATATCTTTGATTCCAGGCCTGCGAGGAATTGTTGATTATACAAACTATGAAGACATGAAATATGCGGTAAGCTAATTTTACTTTAAGTCATTTTCTAGTTTGTTGCTATGGTGGCATGCATTGTGGTACTGATATGAAATTTATTTGAACTGGCTTCTGTTGTATTTTTATTATGAAATACAGATAAGGAAACTTGACGATTCTCTTTTTAGGAATCAATTTTCTCGTGCTTATATACGGGTATGATGTGATGGAATATCTAAATTTTAGATTCAGTACCTCATCAAGTTTGCAGCCACTCATGTACCTGTCAATTTTAGGTGGAGGAGTATGACCGGCGACGTAGCTACTCTAGGAGTCCTAGTAGGAGTCCTTATTCAAGAAGCCGAAGTCCCAGCCGCAGCTACAGCAGCTATAGGGGCAGAAGGTCTTTTTAATTGTATTCACGTGTTTTATTGTTTTGGTCAATTTGCACGTTAACAGCTAAATTTTTTGTGTAGTGTGTCACCTAGGGCTAAGTATTCTCGCCATGCTTCATATCGATCTCGTTCTAGATCTGTCTCTTCACGATCATACTCTCTGTCACCTCCTCGCTCTGTTTCAAGGTATGATTTTTCTTTACATGTTTATAGCTGCTTGTTTGTCTAAAATTATGATCATCTTATAATTTGAAGTCAAGAGTCAAACTTTAATTTTATCAATACATGCACACTACTACTACCCATTTATTATCCACATATATTGTGGGACCTTCCTCTTAGGTGACGCACTTAGTGTGATTTTCATATGGTTATTTTTCCAATTCTTGTCATTTTCTAATTCCGGTTTGCTTTTGGTGCATTTGCATTAATATTGTCTTGTCGATGCTTGAGTTAATCTTATTGTTCTCTCGTTCTTTTGTCCGTGTGTTTAAAAGACGGCGTGTTTTCTCTCTTTTGTGCTATTGCCTTACGGGGCAGTGTGACGTGATACCCTCCATGAATAATGAACTTTGAAGGAACCTATTAATTCATGTTTTTTTACAAAATTGTCATTTATTAGCTATATCTATGACTCAGATTGCCTGCTCACCTGATCTCTCTTTTCCTTCTATGGTTTTTGGATGAGGATTTTATTATTGTTGCTTTTCTTTCTTCTGTTGGCAGGTTGGTTTATTTATTTATTTTGGGGAAAGGGGGGGGGGGGGGGGGTTGGGGGGAGGTTTTTTTATAGACATGTCTATTATTATCTCATTTCTCTTGCTGGGATGCTAGACTCTGAAAGATTTAAAAGCAACACGTTTATGTTACCAGATTGCATTTCTGAGATGCTCTGATTGATCTCATTATCCTAGTTGCACTTTTCTTACAATTCAGACGTAGTTATGGTCTACCAGACAGGATTTGGAACTATTCAGACTGACATAGACACTATGTTCTTTAATGTTACCGCAGTTAGCTAAATTTGACTGATGGATACAATTTGTTTTAGAAAATCTGGTTTCAATGTGAGGAATGAAGAAAATAAACTAATCATAGTTTACAATGAAATATGGACCAATGACATTGAAAGTAAAATACAACTTATTCTCGTACTATTGTAATAAATGTTGAAAAAGAACTGAAACATTTGGGAATAAAGTAACAAACAAAAACAAGAACAATTTTAAGTAGTTATTTTTCTCTGGAATGATGGTTATATCTTAAAAAACCAAAAATTATATATTACTGGAAAGATGCTAAAATGTTGAGGGAGCTGTCATTCATTGCTAATATTTAATCCTGCTCTACAAATTTAAATTAACAACCCGATCAATCTCTTTTGTAATGATGATATTAATTTACTTACTATCAGATATCGACAACTAATGAACGAACCTAAATCTTATTGTGGTTTGTCTTTCTCTACATCGGAGCCCTGCACACATTTTTTGCATGTTCTCTCAGCCCTTGAATTTCTCAAAGATCGAAGCCAATGAAAATGTCAATTGATTGCCTTGAAGTCATGGATAGGAACTGAATGCATGGTGCAACTCAGAATCAATATAGTAAGAAGTGTTCTTGTGATAGTGGTAAGATGAATTATTGGAGAACTGGCATTGTATTAAGCAAATGGGTTCATACATGTGTACAAATGCATGCAGCGGAGGAGGGAGGGGTGGGGGACACTGTCCGATTACAAGGATTTAGTGATATAAAGGTTTATGAAACAATTGAGAGGATCAAAAGATTTTCGGATTCCAATTTCTTTTGTGAAAGTTGTGAGAAAGTGCTGCAAAACAATTTTAAGGAAAATAATTTTACAGCATGTTGCTTATTTAACTATCCGACTTTGAAATTAAAATTTCATTTGCTTCCAATATGAATTGCTTGGAGTTTGGGAACCAGTGGGTTATGCGACGTCGTTGAGCAAAAATGAAGTAAATTTAGTGGGTCAAGTTCATCATAGAAAATGGAGGAACCAAAAAGATGGAGTACAGGAGAACAGCTGTAGAGCAGCAAAACGATTTTCATGTAGATTGTGTAGATCTAGTAGTGCACGATGTATACTATGAAAACATGAACTTCGGAATTGGTGCCAAATAGATGAATTTGAAAGCCGGACAAGGATTGACCTGAATATTATAGCAAATTTACTAGGCTACCCTATCAAGCATCCTAGTTGGTTCAGATCCCAATTAAGTGACTAAAACTTAATTAATTGTCATGCAATCTATGTTTATCTTATTGTATACATTGAGATCTGTTGACTTTGTATACCATTCCGTTGTAAATAAACAGATACAGATCATGCTTGGCAGTCACTTTTCTACTAAAGTGTATATTCTTCTGGAAATCACAAAGTCTGCTGTAAATTATGCATTCTTCCCTACCTGGCAGATATTATTAAAAAAAATGAACAATGTTACAACTTGTTTTGACATTTTATTTTTTTAATATTCTAGTGGATTTATTTTTGATGCAATTGAAATATTTGTAACTATTATAGAGTTGATTCTGCTTGTGTTATAAGGAAAAGTTGTAGAACTAGAAATGGGCAAGTTCAAAATGGGAGAGAAAAATTAGTACTCCCCTTGACATTTCCAGTTGGTCTCGTGGCCAACCATTCTTAATATGCCAGAGGAAATTTATTGTTCTATAAAGTGTCACGTGCATGAGTATAGCATTGAATTGAAATTGAAAATACAAGTATTTAAAGATACCACAGATCAAATTATTGATATTTTTTAATTCATAATAAATTATTTTGACTTATCTCCTTGTGTAACAAAGACTATTTCTAATAAGATCATTTTGTTAGTTATTTGTTAGGATGTCAGTTGGATTTTCTACTGAGCTGTTCGTTTATCAAATGAACATCTAATAAGGTTTCATTCTAAAATTACAATTTCTTTTCTTTAAGGAAAGTGAACTACGGAGATTGATAAGAGATGATAGTTTCAGAATGTGTAAGCCATTACATCAAAACACTAAACTGAATGGATATGCTATTCTTGTCTTCTCAATTGTTTCATCCTTCGGTGTAACATTGTTTTGTATATGGCGGTGGACGAAATTTGTAGAGAAAGGACTTGCCAACTCGGGTTTTGATACAATGATTATGAAGATTGCCTTTTTTGTTTTCTAGATTTGGCGTTTCGTCGTGGTGTGGGGATTGCGTGTTAGGGACTTGATGATTTGTGGTGCTCAATCATGTGTCTCATTGTGGCAGTATGCTGTTTAGTCAATGAGCACCTGCGGTAAGGACGAGGTTTGTAGAGAAAGGACTTGCCACCTCTGGGGTTTTGATACAATTATTATGAAGATTGCCTTTTTTGTTTTCTAGATTTGCCGTTTCCTCGCGGTCTGTGGATTGCGTGTTAGGGACTTGATGATTTGGGTGCTCTATCAGGCGACTCATTGTGGCAGTATGCTGTGTAGTCAATGAGCACCTGCGGTAAGGCCAAATGGTAAATATTATTTTAACATGTCGTGTGTGGTGGATACCTATTAATAAAAAACTTGAAGCAGAAAAATGATGGATGAATATAAAGGTGGATTATTTAAAATTAATTGCTTTTAATGTTGTTGATAATAAGTCAGTTCTGCTGCATGGTGGTTGTGGTACTGGTGGAAGGCTTGTTATCGGTGCTCAAGTTTTGGGTTCTCTTTGACCTGGCCCTCCTGAGTTTTTGGTGGTTGAGCTGTCCACAGACCAATTCCCATTTAACTGAAATCATTACTTCGTATAATCTTTCCCTGTGGAATGCTACTATTTTTTGGGTAAAATATCGTGTCATCTTTCAGTTGTGGACATGATATATTAGCATAAATTCCATTATGATGTAGGTACTAAACAAAATTATGGATGTTTATTCATGTTTGTGGAATTTTTTGCAGATCTCCCTCACGATCCAGAACTCCAGCATCACCAGTAAGTGTAACTTTAGCTATAAACTACTGATATAGGAGATTCATTTTTTATTTTATTTTTTATTTTTTAAAGACACATATCAGCTACTCTATATTATGTATACTATATATACATATTCTTATCTTCAACTTTTGGTACTGAACAGCCTCCTAGACGCAAGCGTGCGAGAGTTAGTCCAGAGCTGAGTCCCAGCTATAGCAGAAGCAGATCCCTATCCCATGCTTCTTCTGTATGTCTGAATTATATGATGACATCTCTAGTTGATTTTGTATTTGCATTTTATGCCGCTATTTTCAATACTTGTCTCCATTATTGGCAGGTTAGATCCTACTGAAGCAGATTTGCAGACTTGAGGTAGCTAGTGCCTAATTGGCTATGAGAATAAACTGTTCTATGGTACTCAGTCAGTTTATCGTAACCATAGAAACTGTGTGACGCTTACATACAATTGGACAGACTTTGAACAGTAGTAAAGAATGGTACCTATCTGAGATTTGAATATATTAAAATCCTGTGAGATTTTATGTTGTTTTCATGTTCTTGATATCATGTTGTGGGTCCCATTTCGCTACCTATTGAGCCTCGGTTGTTCAGGGTATGGCTTGTTGCCATGCACGAGCACCTTTTGGTGTCTTCGTGCATGCGATATATCGTGCTATATGTTACTTGCATTTGGATTACTTACAATACACGGCTGTATGAAGGTGTGCTAAAGAATTTTTTAATATTACTCTTCCTGTTCGATGAGTGTGTTTGTGGTTCTCTAGTTAAATGATTAAAAAATAATTGATTGTCATATTTTTATTTTATTTCTTGGAAAATAGGTAACTCTTATTTTCGTGTAAGTCTAGAAATTACAATATTTTTGCTCTTGTTCTTAATAATGCCCTGCTTTTTGCTGAAATCGTTGTGAAGAAACTGTAGAAAATTCTAGAATGGTACAAGTCAAGGAGCGTGTTTAGACCTAATTTACGAAGTAGGAACAAGCTAAGACGCACACTAAATGCCACGGAAGTGTTCAAAATTCACTTATTAGGCGAGATCTGACAACCATTTTTCTGCAAGAATTTGATATATCCACTAAGGGTGATACCAAAACCTGAACCTGTATGATGAAATTAGCCGAGATTTGTACTTTAGATCTTGCAATAAATTGTTTTCGAACCTTTCATTTCCTGCCTCGTGCTTGATTGTCAACTCTAATTTTCTTTTAATTAATATACGTAGAGATATAGACCCGGCAAAACTTTTGAAAAGTCAAACGACTACTTGTGGACTTGTTTAATTAATTTTATGAAAGTGATTCTTGTAGTTGGAAGATCTTTTAAATGAAATTGATCCAATGCAACTTCATTTAGAAACACTTTAGAAATAGAATTTTCTTTTAAATATTAGTTTTCAAAATTGGTTCATAATCACTTGTAAAAAATTCTATAGCCGACAGGAGAAGCCCAATAAAGTTTACATAAAATGGGTCCCGAGTCTTGAGCGCTATCCGTTTGGGCATTTACTTCTAAGCGGATATGTCCACTATGTGTTGTAGACGAGTCACTCCTGTTAAATTAGCACCTTGGCAGAAAAGCATATATCATGGGGAAAGTTGACAAACAAGCTGACTCCAAATTAAACAAATAATTTCATCGGACCGAAGCAGATAGTTTCTAAAACATAGGTGGTGGTGTACACAACACAAGAAATGCTGGTAGATTATTATCTGCAGCAAATTAGCAAAAGCCAAAGTTAAAGTCAAATCACAAAGCTCGTAGCTGCTGAACAGCGATAATTTCAAGTTCGCGCGATAGTTCAAGGTTTGCATGGTTGGCATACCCCAACCATTGAAATAGTCCCTCAACACATACATCAACTGGGTTTCAGACCATTGTAATCACAGATTCCATCAGGAACAGAAAATAACAGTCTACCAACGATTTTGAGATAGCACCCTCTCGGATCCATGCCTCTGTTGATAACTGCTGGATCGGATTCCTGTATCAGGTCCACTAGCTGTCGGGTAAAATGGTCCCCATATTGATTCTCTTTCAACCTGGTCTCTTCCCCAAGGATTATGACGACTGGGATTAGGTTGTCGTCCTTCGGGGAAGGTTCTTCTAGATGAACCTGATGAGAAGAAGTAAAAGCCACTGGACCGATCTGATGTTGAGGCTGGAGGTGCAACTTGAGCCAATCCCCTGTTGCTATAGGATCTTTGCCCGACAGCTGTAGGAAGTGTGTGTGCCGTTGGGTTGCCACTTGGTCGCTGATGATATCTTTGAAGAGACTGAACACGATCACGTACCCCCCGAGTAACACGACTGGAGTAAGGAGGAATGTCTGATGAGGTAACTGAGCTGGGAGCTCTACTAGACGAACTGCCATGATACATGTCAATATTACATAAATTCAAGAAATATGCAGATAAATGACAATTTGCGCGACTGAAAAACATTAATACTAAAGCCCCTTCCTCACTTAGAATCGATCCTTTTCATTGAAATTAAATCTGAAAATTTAGGTCATGATGACGCGAAGCATCAAATGAAACTTCTCAGTATCCTCTTTTCTGCTATTATAATTCAAGCACTGTAAGGTACATCATGGACTAACCTTTGACTGACAAGGAATGGGTGTGTGAAAGTTCCAGGTCTTGGCACATCAGAATTGGTCCTGGCTGTGCTCCGAGTCACAGAATGAATTGAGGACTGATCTGCACCACCGATGTGATTGCTAGTAGCGTAAGGAGAGGAATCGGATTCCAAACAGTGATAATGTACATCCACGAAGGAAAAGAATAAGAACTAGGGATCTCACTTGGAACTGATGGGCCAATCCAGTGATTGTTAATATTGGATCCATCCGAAACATTTCTACTAGAGGTTAAAGAGGATGGGCGAATAGGTCCTATGTAGGCAATAAACGGGGGACAAGGAGGATTTGAGGATGATCCAGTTGTATGTTCCGCAAAGATAGTATGTTGCCCAAGATCATGATCTATGAAACAGCAAAAACCCCCATTACTACTGATGCTTGATGTAAATATTACTATTTAGAATAGAGGTAACAGAAATCTTACATGCATTTGCTGAGAATTCTCGTTCACTGAGAATACAAAGAAATAGAAATATAATAAGCGTAACAGAAAAATAGATACAGATTAGAAGAAATAACAGAAAAAGAGTTGAAAAGAAAAGACGGGGTATGCAAGCCAACCATGGTAGCTATGATTAAATCACTAAAACTGCACCGAAACCAGTGGAACTGCTGGGAAAATTCTCTCCACAAAAATAAATGATGACAAAGTAGCTGGCAGTGATTGTGTGAAGTGATGATCATAAAAAGCTGATAATGCATAACATGAATACATCACAAATTCATACTCCTTGATGGAGGAAGGAGGAGATGTCAGAGCAGAAGTTTTTTTTTCCAATGTTTAGCATGGCACTATCTGGAAGATTTTAAATTTCCAATATTGAGAACCATGTAATTCTTAAATGATCCACTACTTCGGAATGTACCGTTCTCGACAAGTTCAAGCTTTCTTCCAGTATAAAACAAAATAAGAACTCTACAAAACTATACAACTATTGCAAGCATATCAAATTTTATATCTTGAAGGCAACAGATTATTTGCATAGGAAAGGAGCAGATACAGAGTGGTACTGGGCATATATAACTATCTCACATTGAACTGCAACAAACTACTTGCACCAAGGCATGTAGATATAGACTTGTTATCAGGCAAAGAGGAAAAGTGTAGTATGTAGGCAAGGCACCACGTATACAATGTGCAATTTCTAAAATAGCAAAGCTAAAATTGTCTACTAGATAAACAATGGCAACCAGTTCACCTTGTCCCAGTTGCTTAAGGATGCTTTTTCAGACAACTGAGGGTCAAGGATTGGTACCTCCCTCTCCTCCCCTTCATTCCCCACTCAAAATAAATAAATAAATAAATAATAAAAAACCAATGGCAAATGAAAAATGAGCATTACAAGAGGGAACCTTTATATTCAAAAATTAAAGAGAAAAGTAAGCCAACAACTGTTGAAATTAATTATGAAAGGAAAAAATACTCTTAAGCAAAATGATGCTTACTCAAAAGATGAAGTGAGCCTCGTTAACCCACTAAATGGACACCAATGAACTCCAAATGACTGCAAAAACCATTCACAATTTTCAGGGAAAAAGAGAGAGAAAGAAAAAGAACGGATCGATTGTTAAGTCTAATCAACAAGTTTAGACAGGTTCCAATACAAGATAAGAAAAATGAATTCAATAATGCATAATAAAGTAGAAAATAAAGAATTCTCAGATTAGTTAAGATTCAAGTATAAACAAGATATGCTTATCAAAAAAAGGTATAAACAAGATATGACAAATAGATTTCACTAAGGAATAATGGGGCTCTACTATGAAATAAAAAAACAGAGGATTACAAGATGAGTTTCAAATAGGAGTTAAAAATGAAATATCAAACTCTCTCTCTCACAAAAAAAGAACAAATTTTATCTATCCCAAATCCTCCCTTAGTGCTCAATTGTTTTTGGCACACACTCATTGAACATACATACATATTCAATGAACACATCCTAAGGCCTATTTATAGATTTTGTAAGGCGGTTTATCATTTGATAACTACAACTTATCCTTTAAAGAGGTAAAATTCAAATTTGCTTCTACCTCTATCATTTTCAACCTTATCTCTAATAAGTAAAATCAAAATTTGTCTCCACTTCTAACAATCTCCCACTTGGAGACAAAAATCAGGCCTCAGTGGAACTTCGCCTTCATCTTGAAGTACTAAGACCAACTGAAGTTGAACAAGAATTCCGTTTCTCAATAGTTACTACCTTTGGTAACATCTCTGCAGGATTTTCTATGGTGTGGATCTTCTTCAAACTGATTTTACCATCTTCTAAGAGCGAGCGAACAAAATGGTATTTAATGTCAATATGTTTCATTCTCGAGTGAAATGCAGAATTCTTTGCAAGATGTATAGCACTTTGACTATCACTATACAATTTGTAGTCATCAAGATTCTTGCCCAATTCACTCAAGAAATTTTGAAACCATACCATTTCCTTACAAGCTTTTGTCATTGCTACATACTCTGCTTCTGTCGTAGATATGGTTATAATCTTTTGCAATTGAGAGACCTAGCCAGTTGCAGCACTTCCTAGAGTAGACATATATCCAATTGTGCTCTTTCTGATGTCAATTTCTCCTGCAAAATCAGAATCAACATACCCATACAAGCCTATCTTTGAGCCACCATAACACAAAGCCATATCTCGAGCACCTTTTAGATATCGCAGTATCCACTTGACAGCTTCCCAATGCTCTTTGCCAGGATTATTCATGAATCTACTAATAACTCCCACTGCATGAGCAATATCTAGTCTTGTACAGACCATAGAATACACGCATAAGGGACCTTAGCCATGTACTCTTTCTTCTCGTGCGTTATTGTTCGTTGTTCCTTTGTTAATCTGAAGGGACCTGCTATTGGGGTGCTAACAGGCTTAGCACTTTCCATGTTGAATCTCTTGAGGACTTTACCAACATATTCTTCTTGTGATAGCTTTAATCTCTTGTTCTCCATGTCTCTACTAATTCGCATTCCAAGAATTTCTTTTGTCGCACCCAAATCCTTCATCGCGAATTCTTTAGACAACTGCTCATTCAGCTTAATAATTTCATCCATGCTTGAACCTGCAACAAGCATATCGTCTACGTACAAGAGAAGTATCAAATATGAAGTGTCAAGCTTTTTGTAATAACAATAGTGATCACCATGGCACCTATGGAAGCCTGCATTTGTTATGAAGCTATCAAATTTCTTATACCACTACCTGAGCGCCTGCTTTAGACCGTATAAACTCTTCTTGAGTTTACACACCATGTTCTCCTTTCCTGTAACCACATAGCCCTGAGGTTGATGCATAATAATATCCTCCCCCAAATCACCATGAAACAATGCAGTTTTAACATCTAACTGCTTCAAATGCAAATCCTCAACCGCCACGATGCTAAGGACAGTTCTAATAGAAGAAATTTTAACAACAGGATAGAATCTCGGTATAATCGATACTTGCCTTTTGTTGGAAACCTTTTACGACCAACCTGGCTTTGTATTGTTTGGTGCCATCGGGTTCTTTCAAGCGATAAACCCACTTATTGTGTAATGCATATTTTCCTTCGGGCAATAGAACAGTTCCCACGTCTGATTCATTAAGAGAGATTCCATCTCATCATTCATTGCCAGCTCTCACTTTTCCCTCATTTCAACCTGTAATGCTTCTTTATAACACTTAGGTTCACCATTGTCAGTCAGTAATAAATAATGCAAGGAAGGCGAATAGCGATCTACTAGCCTAATAGTTCTTGTAGACCTCTTCATAGGAACTGGGGTTGATGTTTCTGTAGGCTGTGTCAACTGAACATTCGTATCTTGGGATTTTAATCTCTATTACAAATTTCCTCAAGCTCCACTGTCTCAAGTTCCTTGGTCTTATCGTCAAGTCTATCCTTGTACATGACAGACTCATTGAACACCACATCCATGCTTCTAATTATTTTTCGATTTTCATAATACTAACATTGATAACCACAATTATCGATGCCATAACCAATAAAGACGCATTTACGAGGCCTAGAATCAAGCTTATTCCTATTCTTAGGCTAAATCTGAACATATGAGATGCAACCAAATATTCTTAAATGCGATAGGTTCACCTCTTTTCCCGTCCATGCCTCCTCTGGATTCCGCAATTCAAGGGAACTGAAGGACCTCTATTGATCAGGTAAGTAGCTGTGCTTACTGTATCTGCCCAAAACTGCTTTGGTAAACCAAAATTAATCCTCATACTTCTAGCACGTTCTAGGATTGTTCTGTTAATGCGTTCTGCAACGCCATTCTGTCACGGTTTACCTGGAATTGTCAGCACTTGTCGAATTCCATTTTTTGCACAATATTTCTTCATTCGACTATCTATGTACTCACCTCCATTGTCTGACTTAAGACATTTCAACTCTAAACCTGTCTCATTCTCAACTAGGACTTTCCATTTTTTGACGACATCAAATAAATCAGATTTGTTCTTCATAAAGTAAACCCATAGCTTTCTAATAGCATCATCAATTAAAATAACAAAGTAGCGAGAGCCACCAAAAGATGCTACCTAAGATGGTCCCCATACATCTGTATGCACCAACTCCAATCGTTTCGACTTGCGTATTCTTTGCACTTTTGTGAAACTAACCCCTTTCTGCTTTCCGAAGATACAATCTTCACAGAAATCCAAGTCTAGAGACTCCAAACCTGGTAGTTTTCTTTTTGACATCAGGACTTTCATTCCTTTCTTGCTCATATGTCTAAGTCTACGATGCCACGTACTTGCCTCGACTTCTGATGATATGATAGCAATGGAACTATGAGTACCGGAAGTAACATAGAGAGTACCTTCCTTTTTGCCACGAGCTACCACCATAGCCCCTTTGGTTATCTTCTAAGTGTTCCCAACAAATGTGGTAATACCGAAGTCAGTAAGTTGACCTACTGAAATTAGATTCTTTTGCAAACATGGCACATCTGACATCCTTCATTCTTAGGACGATTCCATTAGGTTGATTTATTTGAACATCACCTTTGCCAACTATGTTGCAAATCTCATCATTTCCAAAATATACCTTACCAAGGTTGCTTGGTACATAGTTATGGAGCAATTCCTTGCGCGAAGTAGCTTGGAACGACACACCCGAATCAATTACCCATTTTTCTCCATGAGCATCCACAGCTAATAACAATGCATCTGAATTTTCAGCATTCGAAACATTAACAAAGTTTTTGTCTCCTTAGTTGTTTTCTTGCTTCTTTGGTGCTTTGGAATTTTGCTTTGTGTGATGAGATTTTCCACAGTTCCAACACTTGCCTTTGAACTTTGGTCGAGATAGTGATCGACCATTTCTCGACCAACTTGTGTTTCGCTCGTGGTTGTCTGTTCTGATTGGCTTTCTACCTCTAAACGCCAAACCACGGTTTCTCCACTATCTTTTCTACGAGTATCTTAGCTAAGAACCCAATCTAGAACATGATCTGGTTTCAACATTGCCGACACCGTGGAATTGCTTACTGCCACAACCAAAGGATTCCAGCTTTCTCGAAGACTTGGTAACAGTGCCAGTACTTTGAGTTATCGTCAAATGAGATATCAATCGACTCCAATTGACATATAAGTGCATTAAAATCGTTGATATGCTCTATTGCAACTCCTCCCTCGGACATCTTTAAGTTGAACAGCTTCTGATGGACTTCATTTGTTGCAAAGGGCTTTTCACACATTCGTGATAAAGCTGCCATCAAATTTTTGGTTGTCTTTTCATTTCTAATATTGAAAGCAACTGATACAGCAAGAGTTAGCCTTATCCTACCTAAAGCTTTACGGTTGAGTAACTCCCACTCTTCATTTTTCATATCTACCGGCTTCTTTGACACTCCTTCAAGAAGAAGGTAAAGGTCCTTCTAGTAGAGGTAATCTTCTATTTGCATCTTCCACAATCCGAACTTCGATCAATTGAAATTTTTCGATCTAAACTTTTCTGTCTTCTGCCATCATTGATATTGTAGCAACTTAGCTATTGTTGAATACAACTATTGTTTATATGTTCACAGGCTCCACTAATTTTGCTATAGCCTGGCTTTGATACCAATTGTTAGGTAAGAGTTGCCCACGATAATGAAAATAGCAAAACTTGAATATAGATTTCACTAAGGAATAATGCGGCTCTACTATGAAACTAAAAAACAGAGGATTACAAAATGAGTTACAAACGAGATATCAAACTCTCCATCCCTCTCAAAAAAGAACAAACTCTATCTATCCCAAATCCTCACTTAGTGCTCAACTGTTTTTGGCACTCTCATTGAACACACATATATATATAATGAACACATCCTAAGGCCTATTTATAGATTTTGTAAGGCGGTTTATCATTTGATAACTACAACTTATCCTTTAAAAAGGTAAAATTCAACTTTGCTTCCGCCTCTATCATTTTCAACCTTATCTCTAAGAAGTAAAATCAAAATTTGTCTCCACTTCTAACAAATTGTACATCAACGTAATTTTGTGTTGTCTTGGTGGAAATGGTAGCAATTAATTAATTTAACTGCATCAAGAAATCATTTAGTAGTAAGCATAAAACAATAATTCACCCATTCTTATGAGGCAAAGTATAGTTGTACTTCTAGAAACGTACATGCATGTGACACATATGAACCATATCTCTCTCTCTCTCTCACACACACACACAGAGGGGCAAAAAGGCCCCACCACCGTCTTTAAATATCCCCAAAAATGATTGTTGATAGAAGACAACACTCTAGTGAAAAACAATACAACTAGATAAATCTAATTCAGAGAAGGACTTCACCAATTATATAAGGGAACCCAATAAAAGGCTCCTAAAAGCATATCACTGTTTATTTTATCAGGTAATAAAAGTTACCCACCAATTATAAGCAATGAAACCCTTTGCAGAAGATCTCCAATTCTGACTAGATGAATACATGGTTCAATAAAAACATTTAGCATATGTTTGACCTCCATTTTTTCAAAAACTTATTTCAACCACACATTCTCTCATAAAATAATTTTACATGTAAACTCAAAACTTTTCCTTATTTTTTAACCACACATTCTCTAACAAAATACTATTCAAAAAAAAGGGGCTCAAATAGGGGCTTAGTATAATAGATTTCATAGACAATAGAGGTTATTACGGATTTACAGGATAACTTTCGATAAAATACTCAAGTCAGCTGTGACAGCAACTAATATGATGGATGCAGGTGGATTTGCACTTATTGTCAGTGATGCAATTTGCAGAAGAAGTGAACTTTGTCTATCAACTAAATATCTTCCTGTAGTTCCAGATTGTTCCTTGAGCACAACTATTTGTAGACGAATGCCAAATTTTAAATCAAGGGAGTGAAAAAGATAACCAGATGGAATCTTGACCTATACCATTCATATCCAGTATGACAGATGTTTAGTTAAAATACAGGATAATAGAGGTTAATACGGATTTAAAGGATAACTTTCGATAAAATACTCAAGTCAGCTGTGACAGCAACTAATATGATGGATGCAGATGGATTTGCACTTATTGTCAGTGATGCAATTTGCAGAAGAAGTGAACTTATCTATCAACTAAAGATAATATCTTCCTGTAGTTCCAGATTTACACTCTTCCTTGAGCACAACTATTTGTAGACAAAAGCCAAATTTTAAATCAAGGGAGTGAAAAAGATAACTAGAGGGAATCTTGACCTATACCATTCATGTCCAGTATGACAGATGTTTAGTTAAATGTGAAACATAAAATCAAGATCAATACACAACCCACAGAAACTGAGCCACATGTTACTTGGATCCTGTATTTTTGTCAACTAGAGAAGCATTTTCAAATGTTTGATTTGCTAGCTCTCTCAATGTTCTGTGCAGCAATACAAACAGTTATGTTAATCTGAAAACTTAAGAAAACCTAGGGTTTAATCTGAAACTTGCAGAGGGTAAAGTTATAGGAAAAAAATTGCGATATAAGAACGAGACAACAGCTAAAATGCGTTTGGAAGTTCAGCAGCATAAAAAGGTGAATTGGAGATAAAAGAATTGCTGTGTTGGCTCTCAATTATGGCATTATCTAGAAATCAACAGCATAGCAGCAAGCTTAAGATAAAGCAGTGGGTCTGTCTACAACCCATTCATACCCAGTAATTCACGAGGAAAGTAAACTATGCTCAGGAGAATAAACTATCCTCTCTAGTATCTCCTCTAATTTTTTATTCGTCATCTTCTTCCTTCCCACTCTTCCTTTTTCTTTCATTTTTCACCTCAATCGACTCAGACCATGATCACCCTGTAAAATTACTTTGATACAAAAACGTTGAGTGCATTCACATAATTGCAACTAATGAAGTACAAGCCAAAATATAAGCATGACAACTCAAAACAATATCCTAAAATTTATATATCGATGCTGTTACCATTTCAGAGAAACTTATATCATATAGATCCTCCTCATGCTGCCAATCATCCGTGCTTAAATCAGGCTGTGTGCGACTACAACTTGCATAGAGCCATTGACCTTTCTCAATTTTCCGACAATTGGGACACTGCATTGCACCCTTACTATTGAATGCAGAACCTATACAATCTGTACAGCTCATGAAAAGATATTAAATGAAAAATAAAAGCCAGATGTCTCAATATTTTGATAAGAACTAATTAAGGAAAGAGACAAAATAATTATGTGACCAACAATTAAAAAAATTGAGCATGAGTTAAGAATTCAAAGATTCTCTTCGAAAATTTAGAAATGTTTTTTTGTTCAATGGCAAAGTAGTCAAATAGTGGTAAGAAATTCTTCTAATATCATACAAAGCGAATAATAAAAAGCAAGCATTTCAAATCGCGCAGGATTTGTTTGACTACTTTAAGTTTTAACACCCAAAATAACATCTGTAGAAACCCCAAGGGTAAAAAATGCACTGGAAATGTGATCGTATGTTGATGTAGACAGAAAATTGAAAATAACAATTCAAGTTCTACCATGTACCCATCCTGGTTACAGAGCAAAAATGGAAAGTAGAAGACAATACACATACAAACATTGTTCAGCAACGAAGCTTAACGTTACAACATTTGGGGGGAAAAAGTGCAATAACTTATTGTTCATGTGTGTCATTTTCGAAAATTCCCATGGCTCATTATAATTTGTAGAATATTACAACTGCTTCATACTATTTCCAAAAATCTGAAATCGAGTAAATCACCTAAAACATCAAACACAAATCCTAGACAGTACAACCCTCTCAAATTCCCAGTCAATCTGATCACAACACAGATTCTTAAGCTGACAACCTGTAACTTGATAATTTTTATGGCAAACACAAATCAATTTTTCCAATCAGCAAGCAACACTGGCACCACCACTTACCTCTCAAATCCAAAAGTTACAATTCAAGGAAAGAAATGAGCAAAAATAAAATTTCGAGTTAAAATCCACTGCACAAAATCGCATAATTCCAGCTAAATTAGGCTTTCAGACTGAATTAGAAACTCCACTGAAATGTAATATCAAAATTAAAAAGTTTCCGCTACACTAAGGCATATATAAATGCTCAGATCTCAATAATTTCCGATCAAATTAAAATCTTTGACTCACCAAGGTGGAATTGATGACCGCATTGAAGCTTGGCCCAAGATCTCTCCCCATTATCCATCACTGCCTCTAAGCATATCGAGCACGACACCGCACCCGGCGTCCCCTTCCCCCTATCTCCTCCTCCGTCATCCAAAAGATCAACATCACCCAATCCCATAATTCAATCACCAATTTCCAAAACCCCCCAATTAATTACTTGAATCTCGATCATTCAAACAATAATTAACACAGAATTCTAATAAACAAAGATTGAATTCAAATTATCTCTCGATAATTTCAAATAATTTATGAAATAGAAGTTCAGAACTGTTGAGACAAAGTGATACGTTAAAAAACTGTTTGGTTCTGTATTCCTAAATTTTCTCTCTCTACTCGCCGCTGGTTTAACGGCGTCGTATCTCGTTTTCAGCATTTTTAAATTAATTTAAGGACAAGATTTAGTGACGGTTAACCGCTGTCTGAAAATGGTAATAAAGCATGTGGGCGGCTGTATCTGTTTCACCGCACTTAAACAAGTTTAGCAGTTACTTTTATCAATAGTCCCACAAGTATATGCAGAATTTCATAAAGGCCATTAAAATATTTTTCTTACATATTTAGTCACTAAAGCTAATAAAAGTTTCATCGAACACTTGATTTGTAAAAGTAAAGGTCCCTAACCTTCGCATAAAATACAAATATGTTCCAAAAATTTAAATCTTGATACCACGATCCTCAACTTTTCATTATTGCAGTAGAAGAGGTCTTTGCATATGAAATCGATTTAATTTTAATGACTATATAAATAAATAAAAAAATACTTAGGGTGCGTTTGATTACAAGTAGGAAAATTACATGGAAAGAAAATGAATTCCAAGGAATTGAATTACCTAGAAATTGTTTTCATGGAAATTGTAAATTATTGTGTTTGATTGTATAAATTTTTCACGTGGAAAATGTTGAAGTAAAAGTACTTTTTTATGTTCGTTTGACTTTGTTTTACGTGGAAATTGTCAATTTCAGGGATATCCTCTTTTACAATTATTCCTAAAATTTGTTCCCATTGCCAACAATTAAAAAAAAAATAAAAAAAGCCAAAAAAAAATAAAAAAAAAGGTGGAAAATCAAAAACCACCTATCCCCTAGGAAAAAAAGGTGGAAAATCACGCTTTAAGGTGTTGTACCTAGAAATTCATGGAAAATCAATTTCCTGGAAAATTTTGTCAATCAAACAGACCAAAAGTGGAAGTTGGAATTCGAATTCCAAGTTCCATGGAAAATTTCGTGCAATCAAACGGGGCCTTAAAGAACAATTTAAAATTTTGCACATAATTCATTAACCTTTATTGAAATTAAGTCCATGATATAGTATAGATTAGTGTGTCCCACGATTATATTTGTTGTCCCTTGATGCACATTTGCACCTCCGCACAACACACATTTTTTTTTTTAATTTTATTTTATTATTATTATTTTTTTTTGGTAGGAATGGTAACGAGGCAAGATGGTAGGCAACCCATTCCATCCCTGTGTAGTTGAAGATTGTCAAGAGTCAAGTTGAGATGGGGATTAAAAAAAAAAAAAATTCCATTTTACTTATTTATTTGTTGGTATCATACAATCCCAAAAATCAAACACAGAGAACACAAATAATTTTTAGTCCGTAGGCTCGGATGTTCACCCATAAACGAGCTACTCACCACGTTGAGCTTCCACCTAAGTGGTTAACACTCTAATCCACTAGAATCCAATAAAGTGTGTCAAAATACAAGGATCGGCGACTCAAGAATCACTCGACTTAAAGTCCTCAGACTCAACTCTCATTTTTTCTCTCGTTTATATATTACATTAAGTAACCAAGAGTTACAGTTCACCAAAAAACAATAAAAATCTAACCATTACATGATTTACATTGGACATCACCAAGAATACTAGAAGACTCGAGATTACAGACAAAAATCAAGGGTTTTCAGAGAGAGAAATAACAAAAGACGAATAGAAACTAAAACCCTAAAATAATCTCGAATGCCAGAAAAATGAGAGAGTCTGGAATATAAAAGACGCATCCAACGGTTCAGCCAGCAACATGTGTTATCATCTCAGCCGTTCCATAAGTCGTGTATTGAGTAAATGCGAGATAGAGTACAAGGGGCCAAATCGGGTCACTTTCCACCATATGGGCCAACCATAAAAATACAATTTATTGGGCTACATCACTGGGCTCCAAATACGAGGATATTAAGCACATTTTAACAATTATCTAACTTGTTAATATAAAATAATAATCGAGAGACAAACATTGTATTACCTGTCCTCGTCCCAGTTACTAAAAGGGGCTGGGTGGGTAATTACATCATGCCCACATTTTCATAGCAAAATGAGAAGACCGTACATGTTTGTTAAGGTAAATATGTGTACATAATACGAGATATAATCATAAATAAATATCTTACATGTCTTTCTTTTTTCCTCTTATCCAACTTCTATTATGTCGAACATAACATACATATTCGAATCTATTCATAATAAAACCTACTAAAAAGAAAAGAAAAGGCAAGAAAGTTGATGTTAAATCTTTTGATTGAAAAATCAATATTAATATGATCTTTAAAAGTATAATCTTTTAGAATATCGATATCCTCGTAAAATGACAATTGTGACATTAAATTATGGCGGGGAAATAAAGAACGTAATAAAATACTATCGTGCACAATACAAAATGAATTTAACAAGCATATATCTTCCAACGAAAATAATAGTATGGAGAACATAATAAAATTAGAGGAGTGAGATTGAAAACATCAACAAACAATGAATTTGTACATGAATTTATAACTTTTTTTTCTACTTTTTAATTACAAGTTCTTTGAAAAAATACTTTTCACAAAAGTTATTCTAAAAAAATCTTTACCAAACACGGTCTAAATGTATGGGAGTGAGAAAAACAAAGTATTTTTGGTTGAATATGTTTGTTATATAGCTGAAATTGGTGACCTTCTCAAATGTCATTATTTAACCTTTTCACCAAATCCTCGTCACTTTCCTCTTTATAGAATACAACCATTTGCAGGCTGCCAACTAACTTGGTTTATTTATTTATTTATTTTTAGTTGATTTCTAGGAGCAAAAACTTCCTAATTAAGCATACTGTTTTCATTTTTTTCGTTTCACATTACACTTTCTCGCTTTACATAATTGAAATATTAATTCTTTGGTAACGAGAGACGAGAGATTATTGACTCATCGATTTGGATCAACATACATCACATATTGATATATGAATCTGTATTTGATTACATTTAAGCGACCAACAATAAAGAAATATCTTAAAAAATCTTCGATTTCTTTACATATTTGTAATAGTTTTATTAAATCGTTTGATCGAAAATTAATATTAAATATATTTGTAAGAGTAGCTATTATTTCAATTAAACTCCTCAAATAACGTCTCTAACGAAAATGTAAACTATGGAGAGTGAATGAAGAATGTAGTAAACTACTATATTGTAAAATAAATTTAATAAACATAATTATGAAAAATAATACCTAATCGACACCTTCAATAAAATTAATTGATTATAAAATGAAAATAAAAATAAACCTTTAAGATTGAAAAGGTGTCAAAATTTAGAGACTGTAAAATAGATAAATTGAGTGAGGGGAAATATAATTAAGAATAGTTTAATAAGAAAAAAATCATTTAAAAAAAAATATCAAATGGCATTCAAACGACTAGAAATTTGGATTTTTCGTTGTGCCTGAGGTAAAAATCCAAAATAAAACAAGAGCAGTAGACTTCTTCAGATACGTATGGCACAATTCCACTTTGATTGAACCTTAATCGTCAAAATCGAGTCGAATCATTTTAGATCATTAAAACACTTAGGATCCGTTTGAATTGCCTAGAACTTGTTCTCTTAGAAATTGTCAATTAAATGTGTTTGATTAGTATAATTTTCCACACGGCGTTCAAATTTTTGATTTTCGTGTTCGTCTGACTTTATTTTTCATGAAAATTGTCGATTAAAGAGATATAATTTTTTACAACTGTAGATAAAATTTGTTCCTATTTCTGAAAATAAAAAATAATAATAATAGAGCTGAAAAACCAATTCTCACGGTTTTGGTGAGAATTGATTTCCACCAATTCTTGGAAAATGCACATGTGTGGGAGAAAAGATGGAAAAGTTTGCTATCAGACACTCAATTTTGGTGGAAAAAATTCCATTTTTCATGGAAGACTCAAGCTTTCAAATAGGCCCTTATATAACTCATTTCATTGAGATATAGTTCATGTTTGATTGTCATTTTTTCTTCAAAACAATATTTTGAATAGTGACTTTTAGGAGAATGTGTGGTTAAAAAGTAAAAAAAATAAGCATATTTATATATGAATCTGTATTTGATTATATTTAAGCGATCAACAATAAAGAAATATCTTAAAAAATCTTCGATTTCTTTACATATTTGTAATAGTTTTATTAAATCGTTTGATCGAAAATTAATATTAAATATATTTGTAAGAGTAGCTATTATTTCAATTAAACTCCTCAAATAACGTCTCTAACGAAAATGTAAACTATGGAGAGTGAATGAAGAATGTAGTAAACTACTATATTGTAAAATAAATTTAATAAACATAATTATGAAAAATAATACCTAATCGACACCTTCAATAAAATTAATTGATTATAAAATGAAAATAAAAATAAACCTTTAAGATTGAAAAGGTGTCAAAATTTAGAGACTGTAAAATAGATAAATTGAGTGAGGGGAAATATAATTAAGAATAGTTTAATAAGAAAAAAATCATTTAAAAAAAAATATCAAATGGCATTCAAACGACTAGAAATTTGGATTTTTCGTTGTGCCTGAGGTAAAAATCCAAAATAAAACAAGAGCAGTAGACTTCTTCAGATACGTATGGCACAATTCCACTTTGATTGAACCTTAATCGTCAAAATCGAGTCGAATCATTTTAGATCATTAAAACACTTAGGATCCGTTTGAATTGCCTAGAACTTGTTCTCTTAGAAATTGTCAATTAAATGTGTTTGATTAGTATAATTTTCCACACGGCGTTCAAATTTTTGATTTTCGTGTTCGTCTGACTTTATTTTTCATGAAAATTGTCGATTAAAGAGATATAATTTTTTACAACTGTAGATAAAATTTGTTCCTATTTCTGAAAATAAAAAATAATAATAATAGAGCTGAAAAACCAATTCTCACGGTTTTGGTGAGAATTGATTTCCACCAATTCTTGGAAAATGCACATGTGTGGGAGAAAAGATGGAAAAGTTTGCTATCAGACACTCAATTTTGGTGGAAAAAATTCCATTTTTCATGGAAGACTCAAGCTTTCAAATAGGCCCTTATATAACTCATTTCATTGAGATATAGTTCATGTTTGATTGTCATTTTTTCTTCAAAACAATATTTTGAATAGTGACTTTTAGGAGAATGTGTGGTTAAAAAGTAAAAAAAATAAAATAAAATGAATTAATATATATAATATTTTATTGTGTGAATATGTAATTAAAAATGAGTATGTAGAAAAAAGAGTTTTCAAATAATGATGGTAAAAAAGTGGGCATAGTCATTATTCCTATTTTGATAACACTTGTGTGTTTAAAATAAGAATAATACTATTTGCAACTGTTTACTATCGCAATTGTCCTAAGTGACATATATATGTCGGTTAGTGATTTGTTGCATGGGGTAATAAAAAATTACCACGTTAATATATCAAATCACTAATCTTCACATAAGTCGACTACGACAATGAGCAACTATAAATAGCATTACTCTAAAGATAAATTAAAAAAAAGAGTATAAAAAATTTAAAATACAAATACTTTAGAAGAACGTGTGGTTAAAAGTAGGAAAAATTTTGTATTTATGTGCAAAATATTTTATTGTGTGAATGTGTAGTTAAAAATGAGTATATAGAATTTTTTTTCCTCAAATAATGATGATAAAAAAGGGCATGGTCATTATTCCTATTTTTATAACACTTGTATGTTTAAACTAAATTAAAAGAAGAGTATAAAAAATTGAAAATACAAATACTTTATCGTAATAAAAGATCATATTCGTCGAATAAAAGATATTCTCTGACACACGTGGGCCACGTCTGCCACAAAACGTGTCTAATTTAATTTCTTACCTTTAGTTTTCCTTTGAATTCTCACCATTTTAGGAATTTTCAATTAAATGTGTTTGATTAGTATAATTTTCCACACGGCGTTCAAATTTTTGATTTTCGTGTTCGTTTGACTTTATTTTTCATGAAAATTGTCGATTAAAGAGATATAATTTTTTACAACTGTAGATAAAATTTGTTCCTATTGCTGAAAATAAAAAATAATAATAATAGAGCTGAAAAACCAATTCTCACGGTTTTGGTGAGAATTGATTTCCACCAATTCTTAGAAAATGCACATGTGTGGGAGAAAAGATGGAAAAGTTTGCTATCAGACACTCAATTTTGGTGGAAAAAATTCCATTTTTCATGGAAGACTCAAGCTTTCAAATAGGCCCTTATATAACTCATTTCATTGAGATATAGTTCATGTTTGATTGTCATTTTTTCTTCAAAACAATATTTTGAATAGTGACTTTTAGGAGAATGTGTGGTTAAAAAGTAAAAAAAATAAAATAAAATGAATTAATATATATAATATTTTATTGTGTGAATATGTAATTAAAAATGAGTATGTAGAAAAAAGAGTTTTCAAATAATGATGGTAAAAAAGTGGGCATAGTCATTATTCCTATTTTGATAACACATGTGTGTTTAAAATAAGAATAATACTATTTGCAACTGTTTACTATCGCAATTGTCCTACGTGACATATATATGTCGGTTAGTGATTTGTTGCATGGGGTAATAAAAAATTACCACATTAATATATCAAATCACTAATCTCCATATAAGTCGACTACGACAATAAGCAACTATAAATAGCATTACTCTAAAAATAAATTAAAAAAAGAGTATAAAAAATAAAAAATACAAATACTTTAGAAGAACGTGTGGTTGAAAGTAGGAAAAATTTTGTATTTATGTGCAAAATATTTTATTGTGTGAATGTGTAATTAAAAATGAGTATATAGAATTTTTTTTTTCTCAAATAATGATGATAAAAAAGGGCATGGTCATTATTCCTATTTTTATAACGCTTGTATGTTTAAAATAAATTAAAAGAAGAGTATAAAAAATTGAAAATACAAATACTTTATCGTAATAAAAGATCATATTCGTCGAATAAAAGATATTCTCTGACACACGTGGGCCACGTCTGCCACAAAACGTGTCTAATTTAATTTCTTACCTTTAGTTTTCCTTTGAATTCTCACCATCCTAAATCATTCCAAACTCGGAAACTCCTCTCTACCTCCTCTTCTCTTCTATATATACATAAATCCTCTTTCTGCGTTCAGTTATTTTATTGTCACAACAAAAAAGAAGAACTTCTTTAATAAAGGGTAGTTATCTGCAATCATGTTGGTTTATCAGGATCTTCTTTCTGGTATTCATCTACTTTCTTCCACAATATAACTGTAATTGTTTGGAATTTAAATTTTTCTGCAAAAAATTCAATAATGTCGTCTGAATAATGAATTTATGATTGATTTTCAGGCGACGAGCTTCTTTCTGACTCATTCCCCTATAAGGAAATCGAGAATGGCATGCTGTGGGAAGTAGAAGGGAAGGTACGTAGGATCTGTATATGTCCTTCTATGCTTCCTTCTGATATTATGCGTAACAAAGTCGCATCCCCAGGATTTGAATCCAAACTTAAATGAAATCCTAATAACAATTGGACAAGTGCCCAATTGGTATCGAGATTGAACTCAGGTCTTGGATTCAAATCTGCTCAATGCGACGAAAAGTCGTGAGGGGTGAGACAGGCAAAAACTCTCCCCAAGGAGATAATACATACGATGTAATGGCTTAGGCATAGGTCCATTACATTATGTAACTCTCATTTGTAGAGGAGAAATTTGACAAAATTACTTATTTCTTATTAATAGTGGGTTGTTCAAGGAGCAATCGATGTGAATATTGGGGCCAACCCTTCTGCTGAAGGTGCGGATGCAGACGAAGTTGTTGATGATCAAGTTGTCAAGGTTGTCGACATTGTCGACACCTTCAGGCTTCAGGTTAATCAGGAATGTGGATTTGTATCTCTAACTGTTCTCTTTCAGAGCATCAACTCATTCTCTGTAATTGTTTGCAGGAGCAACCCGCTTATGACAAGAAGCAATTTGTTGCATATGTGAAGAAATATATCAAGAACTTGACACCTAAATTGGATTCAGAGAAGCAAGAATTATTCAAGAAGCACATTGAAGGAGCTACTAAGTTTCTTCTTCCCAAGCTCAAAGACCTACAATTGTAAGTCTATCTACACTTTCATAAATTGTATCAATTTTCATATAGAAATCGATAGTCGATAATATTCTTATACTTTTGACAGCTTTGTTGGGGAGAGCATGCACGACGATGGAACAATCGTGTTTGCATATTACAAGGATGGTGCCACTGATCCCACTTTTCTATACTTCGCTTATGGGTTGAAGGAGGTGAAATGTTAAAAAGAAATCGAAATTTTTTCACTCTCATCGAGTTATAGCTTGAGTTGTTGGTATAGTGTCAGTATTCAGTTTTGATGTTTTATAGGTAATTCGTAGCGATTTTTGGTAGTATATAACTTAGGTTAAGCATTATATACGACAATTGTATCCAAATGGGGATACGAGTTGAGTTGTACAAGCTTAAAAATATAGACGTGAAGATTATTTATTACAAATGCTTCTATTGAGATTTTGCAACATAATGTCTTGTGATTTTTAATTTTCCTCTGCCATTCATTAGTATATAATATCTTTAATCAAGACTTTGCCCCCGTTTGTCACTCATTATTTCACATTCTATCACATTATTTTTTCTACAATAATTATTTTCACTACATATTCTCTATTAAAATAATATTACATGTAAATAAAAAAAATTCATTCTTTTTTAACCACATATTCTCCATCAATTTACTATTTCATAATATATTTTTCAAATTAAAGGAGCCCAAACATACCATTTATAAGTTTCACATGCTCATTAGGAATTTTTTACTTACTCTTGAAGAATTAGATAAGAATAATGCTATCTAAATTTAGGAATCCATTTCCGTGACAATTCATGATGTCTAATTTAATTTGTCTTGTTTCTTTACATTTAAATAAATTTATTATTAAGCCCCTGTTTGTTTTGCATTCTTTCCCCCCATCAAAATGAAAAATATGATCGTTATCCATCACGTCAAGTCACCAAATTTGAATTTATATCTCTTGTATGGGGCTCATAATGACTATATTTTTCATTTTCATTCTTAAAAAGGTGAAAAACAAACAGGGCCTTAATATCATGTATGTGATCATGTAGACTGATACTGAAATTAGATACATGTTCAAAGTCGATTTTGCAGTTCAGGCCCTGCAAGGCCCAACCCAGAAGCCGTAGCCTGTCAATCATATCGTATTGGGCCCGGTCAAGTTTTGGCCTATTATGGATATGGCAGGCCGAAAAGATTTAACCTTTTGAAGTTTTCTTTTGGGACAAATTCATAACGACGATACATTAAGAATACAATATCACATTTATCAAACTTATAAAAAAGTTTCACGAATTATTAAGTCATATAATAATATATATATAGGAAAAATACACATTAAATTAGGATAAAATAACTCTACTCTAATAAGAGCCGTGACAGGGCAGGCATCGATGGGGCCGCCCTCCAATAGGGGGACCCAAATTGGCGCTTGTCACAAGGGTTGTCACGACCTTTGTCACAGTAGCGTCCCCCATTAAGATAATATAATCATCATTACCACATCTTAATATATAGTATATATTCATTTTTGAATAATATATTCTTCTCTAATATTTCTCCCACCAACTTTCTTTCGCTCTTACTCTACTGATATGGAAAGTCGATACATTCACATCTCCATTACATCCAAAACCGTTCCAAAAGTATCATTATAATTTGCCTTAATTTGATGAGTGTGTTTACTCAAGAGCAGATTTCGACTGAGTAAGTCGTAATGTTTTTTGTGATTTCATTGTACAAGTCGAGTAGCTTGGACTTTACGAATGGGTTTTGTGGAAATAGCAGTAATTCAAATAATAATGGCGATTGAATTAAGGTTGTTTCTGACTGTTATGACATTGAGATGCTTAATGGATGCGTCCAGATAGATCCTGAGGCTATTGACCGTACGTATTTCATAATTCATAATTTTTTGAACAGATTTTTGTATTTCATAAAATTTCAACATGATTGTGACCTGTTGACTATGTGTTTTGTGCTATATGTGACAAGGTTTTGTTTAACAATAACTGTTTGTGACCACATATAAGTAAGTTGTTAATGTTCGTGACAATGTTTGTGTAAGCTATTATTGTTTGTCAACAAATTTGGGTTATCTATGACTGACTGTGATCAAATTTATCTTTAGTGTGATTGTTTGTGATCAGGTCAATCTAAACAGTGATTGTATGTTATCAAGTCACTGTTAATTTGATCATACAATCATAGTTAAGACATATCAAATCACTGACGGTTACAACGAAGATAGACTTGATCACAATCGATTACAATTGATACAGACTTAGTCATCGAGGGTTGCAATTAACATATAAATGGTCACAAACTTTGAATGTGAACATGTTTTATCATAAACATTCATTGTCAACAGATGTCTAATTACGTGTGTCATTATTAACATAGACTTGATCATATACAATCACACCGCCACTTTAACCTTGAATCCGCTATCATCTCCACCTCCAACCCATCACCATCACAACTTGTGCATGCACCTAACTCCTGCAATCAACAAACACCATAGCCACCTCCAGCTTTACCTCCACACTATCGAATTGATCTGTTACAATTAAAACACCACGGTCATCGATACCACCCAAGTCGTCCATCATCTCAAATCCACAACCTCCTCACCAACTCTATGTCAAATCTATGACATTGTTAAGAAAAAATGACTTTTTATTGTCGTCATCAAGACTTTCGGGTTAGATCCATTGTTTGGGGATTGAGTTTAAAACAGTTCTTCTTGTTCTAGAGAGATGGTTAAGAAATTGTTAGAGAGAGAGAGAGAGAGAGAAATGGTTTAGACATAGGAAAAATGATGTTGCCTTTTATGGAGAGAGTACTGAGAGAAATAGTAAGAGAAAGAAGTTTATTTTTGATAGAGAAAATAGAGAGAGAAAAATAAATTAATCATATATTAATTAATTATTTTAATAAATCTTCATTATTACTTGATTTATGAAATTAAAATTAACCCTCGTTATTTTTAAATAGTATACCTTATATGTAGAATTTTGGGTTATCTTCATTTTTTCTTTTTTTCCCCATTTCAATTCACCCTGGCACAGGCCATGTTAGATCAGAGAATCTCGATGTGCTAGATGTAGCATTCACGGGCAATGTTTGGCTCGACAATTTAAATACCTTTGATCAATTCAATATGATTAATCAGTCGTTCCTTAAAACTAAGCCTCTTTTCAGTGAAGATTAAAATCAGATTTTTAGTAAGCTTCGATATAAATTAATAAAATGTGTGTTTGAAAAGTCGTGGAACTCATAAAATGTGGTTACGATTGATTGTTAAATTAAAATCTCCAAACGGGGCTAAATAATAAAATGTGAAATTGAGCTTTAATGTGAAACTAAAGATGCGGGCAAGTAGGGTGTTGTGTATGGGAGCGTTATGCTATTCAATTGGCTATATTTTCATCTAGGCGAAGGTTCCTCGAATAGCTGTGGCATAGCAGGGTTTAAAACATGGAACCTCCAACATTGGAATAATAAGCTTAAAATAAATCTAGCCTCAAAGTTCACATACAAACCATGAGTACAGACCTAAAAGGAAATGCATATGAAAAGGTGGTAGCCAGTCTTCTGAAACTTTTGCAACTTCGTTGTAAAATGATCTCCATGCCAGAGTCAAAAGCTTCTTGATTTACTAGGCTTGAGTAGCACATTTGAACTTCAAAGCAAAAAGGTTATCTTATGCAGATATTGTACGTCGAAGCCAGGTGAAACTATGCGTAGTAGTTCAAGCTCGCTTTCTTTTTAGCTTGAACTTGGATAATACCTTCATTAAAATCTTCATGGTTCACCTGGAAAAACCAAGTCAATGTATGCAGGTTAGTTTAGTTAACTTGAAAAAAGAAAAATGGAGGGACGGAACAGATGTAAATATTTGTTCTTACTCATCTCACACACAGGTTCAAATCCATTTTTCGCTATACAAGGCTATACAAGGTAATGACGACATCTAAACAATTTCCATATTGAGACAACTTCGTTAAAGATGACTAGAATCGATGTTAAATCAAATGGATAAATTCTTCTCAAGATCTGGACTCTTTAAGGCAAAAACAAGGAGTATAATCAGCTTTCTTAAAGTAGTAGTCTTCATGGAAGTTCATCAACGCACAAAATCATACAAAGGCTAGCCCAGGAAAATACTAACAAATCCTCAAAAAGATGCATCTTATGTCAAAAATATGTTAATTTCTTTTATTCTTTCTTTTGGGTGGGAGTCACAGACGGTATTTCTGGCAGACCCGGTAAAATAAATATAAAAGTTACCAGTCAGAGTAAATCAAATTTCAGAACTTAAGGGGCCAAACAGCCCTGTATGCTGAGGCAGTTTAGTCCCTGGACACAGTGGGTGCATGATTTCTCAGGGCAGGCAGATGCCCAAGGTGTATCAGAGAGAGAGAGAGAGAGAGACCTCAGTGGCATCACGGCGTAGTGCTAGCATTCCTGCTTCGACACAGACTGCCTTCAGCTGCGCCCCATTGAAGTCATCTGTTGAACGAGCAAGTTCCTCAAAGTTGACATCTGGATGAACGTTCATCTTTCTGGAGTGGATCTATAATATGATGCAGCAAAGAATACGACACTCAAAAACAACAGTAGTAAAAGGGGTTTCTTATGACAAATATGGGAAACATTTAGAGTTCCACTATAGATGAACTTATATTCAAAAGATAGGAATCCTTGTGGCAGGCATACCTGCAAGATTCTAGCTCTGGCTTCTTCAGTAGGATGCGGAAACTCAATTTTACGATCCAATCGACCAGACCTCATTAAGGCAGGATCCAAGATATCAGCTCGATTTGTAGCTGCTATCACCTTGACATTAGAGATGACACCAAAAGAGTTTCAGAATATCTCAAAGTATAAATAATTGGAATTGACAAAAAAACACAACAATGTATTTTGGACGTCAAAGAAAAGTAACTGCAGAAAACAACCCATCAACGGTCAAAAGTACACAAGTATATACTTCCAAGGAATCTTCACATCAAAAAACACGAACAAACGTGAGGAAAAATACATGATAAAGAGTAGAGAAATAACCTTGATACGATCATCACTGCTGAAACCATCAAGCTGATTGAGCAACTCTAACATGGTCCGTTGCACCTCTCGGTCCCCACTAACTTCACTGTGAAGTATAAAATATTGTCAGCAATTAGCAGAGCCACAGTGCCAATAACTCCCGCTCCCAAAATCATATAAACATCAAGACCAGGAAGAATTTACACAGATCAAATCTAAAGAGAACTAACTCACCTGTCAAAACGCTTTGTACCAATAGCATCAATCTCATCAATAAAAATGATGCAAGGAGATTTTTCTTTAGCAAGTAGAAAAGCATCACGAACCAGTTTTGCACCATCGCCAATAAACATCTAAGACCATAACAATTTATATCACTCCAAAGATCACTGAATAACTAGCTAAAGAGAACAGGAATCAGAGAGAGCGACGAATAATCTCAGATATATTATACCTGTACAAGTTGGGGACCTGCTAGCTTAAGAAAAGTAGCATTGGTTTGAGCAGCACAAGCACGAGCCATTAGGGTTTTCCCTGTTCCAGGAGGCCCATATAAAAGAACACCCTTGGGTGGACGAACACCTAATTTCTGAAATCTCTCTTTATGTGTCATAGGCAACACAATTGCCTCAACTAGCTCTTGAATCTGTAGTGATCGATATAAGGTTTCAGCAAAAAATTTAATGTATCAAATGAGGCTGAAAAGCATTTGCTCATATCAAAAAATCCTAAAGAAATAAACTTTCCTGTTTCTCCAGGCCTCCAATATCATTATAGTCTTCTGTTGGCTTTTCATCAACCTCCATAGCCTTCACACGAGAATCATACTCAGACGGCAAAGTATCCAATATCAAGTAACTGTCTTTGTTTACTCCAACCAGATCACCAGGCTTCAACTCATCAGGATCAACAAGACCTACTACAGGCAGGAAAATCGTCTGCATTCGACAAAGATAACATATTTATTCTCTTAAGACATTTAAAAACATCATTAGTTTGACATGATCACTTTCAGATTTCCATTATCAATATCATAGTACATCAATTCCTTAGACAATTATCAACTTCGGTAGTTTAACACGTTCACTTCATGATGTTAACCTCATGCATGACATTATCAGGTTCTGTATTTCAGATTTCCATTTGATCGACCACATGACTTGATCTTTTGACAGAGAATTATTATATATTCTATGTTAACCAGATTCCTTTCATGGGCAGAAGCTTAACATAATGAAGAGAACATGATCACTTTCAGATTTCAATTATGGAAATGATATATTCATTTTGGTATATCCAACGAAAACTCCTGACAGTCAATTATTCTGCAGAAATCAATGTTGTTAACACTCATATGCCAAGCCCATCGATTTGAGAACATCAATAAACATCAACAAACATGCAACCATTTCTTCAAGCAAACGAGAAATAAAACAAAAAGGAAATGAATGTTAGGTCAAAACAAATGAATTGCAAAAACACATGCACAAGCACAGATGCGGATGCATACAGTCTCTCACCACAAAGAGAGAGATGTATGTACCCATGATATCTTACCTGGCGTGTGGATGTTTTTAGAACTACACATTTACCCTTCCTTTGCGAGTCAAGATCAATATTTGCACCGTCTTCTTCAGCCTCATCCTCTGGGTTCATTTCCAAAATCTGATAAATATAGAAAACAAAATGACTATTCATAAAATTAAGAATTTGTTTGAGCCCCATTTTTTATAAAAATAGATTTGTAATAGTTATTTTTTAGAGAATGAGTGGTTAAAAAGTAGGAAAAAATTTTGGGTTTACTTATAAAATTATTTTATTGGGAAAATGTATGGTAGAAAATGAGTTTGGGAAAAATGTGTTTTCAAGAATAAGGCTCAAACAGGGACTAAATCTCCAATCTCTACTAATCATTATAGATAGTGACACTAATCAATCAACTCAATTTTCAGGAATCACATAACGTCATCAATTGGACAGATACTTCTACAGGCATTCTGCTCAAACTCGACAGAAAGCCAGAGCTAACTTCCGTAAAATGGCAAGGGATCCTATAAGTTAATGCGGCCTAAATTTCATTTAAATATAAAGCATGCAAACTGGGAAAAACAATATAAATCCGGGCATAGGTTGTGACACAGAGTCAAAGAATAAGACTAATCCTTGTATCCCACTATTACTCAACTTGCAACTCCTAATGTGATCAGTTCATGAACATATAAGGTTATCAAAAAAATTCTAACTTAATTTACAAAAATAATCCGTGATTATGCAATTCCTAAACTGCAATCAACTTGACTAAAGTATTAAAAAGACAAATTGATCAGACAACTGAATAACCTGGATTCAAACACAGGCTCATGATTAGAAACAAAATAGTAATTATCCAAGACATCAAGCAAGCTGCTTAAGTTGAACCTTGGAAAAGTCTTCAAATCACCTCCTATAATCCTTAAAGGTCAATGCCATTTTTCACCATCATCAATTTTACTAAAAGATTATTTTAATTTACAGGTGAAATATCCTAAGAACACGTCACATGAAATACAAATTATGAGGAGAAGACAGCGTCTAGATACTAGATACAAAAACATGGGATACTATCCCCACATTACATCAGTTACCTACTCCCTGAACTATATGTAACAGGAAAATCATCAGACACATATTAGAACCCCAAAATTTTAATCCTCCCCTGCAGAACATCAAATTCCATAGCCACCCCTATAAGATTTTAGTATTTCTTAGGAAATATATTAACTAATGAATTTTAAAATTTTTTTGTTCTATCACGCTTCAAAAACGCCCTGGAAAACAAACCAAAAACAACTTTTTTGTTCTTCCAATTCTAGTCATGGAAGCGTAATGTAAAACATTAATCATGGGACATACCCTTGCACTAGACTTGTGCACAAACTGGAAGAGAATTAAGTTATAAACAATAGCACAAATATATATCAATTTGCAAATCCTTTGTGAGTAAAGTTGAACTTTGGTTTATTTCTTTTCTTTTTGTAAGTTTGTCAAGTGGAGGTAAGTTTTATGCTTTCATAAGGTCAAATTCTAAACTTCCTTTCAATTAAACTAAAAGATAATATAATAGATAAGAAGGCGTTCCCTATTGTAATAATTCGTTCAGTGCCATAGCATTACCTCAATTTCAAAGTAAGTCTCCTGGCAAAATCATAATGATGATCCTAATCCCCCAGTGTATGCAATTATTAGGATTTTCTCTCCGTGAAACTGATTTCCAAGCCTCTTTACTATGTAGTTATAATTCCCTTTCTTTCTCCAGTCATCATAAAGAGACATTATCAAAACACAAATCCACATCCAGTATTCCAAATGCCACTCATCTCTGTTAATTAGACATTCCCATTAATTCCACACACCGGAACAAGAAACAACGCAACATCCGTAATTGAACACTTGAATTTAAAAAAAAAAAAAAAAGATTTGACAAAATTAAAACCATATTGAACATAAGTACCTCAACAATGTTGCCAACTAAGTAAGGGAGCTGCTTGTTGAGTTTGATTTTCTCTTGATTTTCCTTTATCTTCTCCTTCAACGAATCTAAATCCAGATTCGTTCTCTGCAACTCTTCCTAAGGAAATAATAAAGTATATCATGTAACAAGAAAAAATCATACTCTAATTTCTCGCGCAGGCAGAGAGAGAGAGAGAACCTTGAGGATTCGGATTTCGTTGTCAAGAAGGCGAGATGCTCGAACAATGTCGTCAGTGGACATAGACGAGAGCTGGTCATCTTCGAAGTTGGTATCTTCTACCATCGGCGTCGCCATTTTTGATCAACTATGACTGATCGTGCGTGTAGAGAGAGAGAGAGAGATTGGAAGGATTTGGGGAGAATGAATGTTATAACCTAATTCAAGAGCCTGGTTGTAGCGTCGTGTTCATGAAGAAAGCTATTCACTCGGGGGTGTACTTAAAAAAAACAAAAACAAAAAACAAAAAACAAAAAACAAAAAACAAAACAAAAAACTACAAATAATTGGAATATTCCTTCTTTTTTTTTTTTTTTGTGTGAATAATTTTATGATTTTATGGATGACAACGGGAAATGACCCAATCGATCCTTTTCTATCCTGGACAGTAGGATGGAAAATGATTAAAATAATTTTATTTATTGCTCATTTTCTTTTTTCTTTTTTTAATATTAGCTATTGACTTTTTGAATAGCTCAAGTCTGGACCCCATTAAATTTCGTTCCATTTTTCTCTCTACTATTTCCAGCCATACAATCTTCCATAAAATGATATTACACATAAATTGAAAAAATTTCATTCTTTTTCAATCACTCATTTTTAATAAAAATATTATCCAATCCACTTTCATTTCAAAAAAATGAGGGCCAAACGGGATAAATTCTAAAAATAGAGATAAAATACAAAGTACATCTTGGACATGATGAATATATGGTATTTTTAGTTAATTTAAACAATTTGTCAATCTGATTACGTTATTGGGACTCTTGTTTCGGGACAAATAATATTTTAAATGCCATCCTACATGCCCTCATTGAGAGATGGTCGACTGGTATAAATTTGAAGTGGACTATCAATTCTCATGTTTGACTTGCCTAGCCCAAATCCAGCACAATCTAACATGTTCTCCTCGGGGGACAACAGTATAGAACCACTGAATAAGGTATAAGTCGTAGATGAGTTTCATATAGGAAATATGCATGCAGAATTTTTTAGAGGACTTTGTCAGTAACGGGTTATTATACTATCATATGTCACTTGTCAAGTCCTCTTAAATTACTGGAGATATACCATGAATTTTAATATAATGTTGTCAAGGTTTACAAAATCGTTACACAGGAGTACAAAACTATGGATTGGAGAGCTCAATCCATATGAAAGTTGAGTTGCACCCTCAATCTTGACGTTATCAATGTTTACAATATCACACTGAAGTATATAACTACGGCCATATGAAACATGAGTTGCACCATCAATCTTGTCACCATATATCTCTAGTTCCTCTATGCATTAGGGTTGAATTATCTTGTGTGATGTACAAAAACATATTCTTAACGGATGAACTTGCTCACCCCTAGTGGATACCCAATGACTCTAGCATTAAACTTATTGAAAGACTGGTTGAGTAACTCCAAAAACGAATATCAAACCATACGTCAAATCTACGCGTATATTCTGCACATTAACAAGCTTATAACCTATGTTGAGACAAGCTTTCGCCTAATATCAGTAGAAAAGTAGCCAAATATGTGTGCAAGAGATTGAAATGAATGAGATGAAATGTGTCATCTTAAAAGAACTGTCTACACTATGACTTCTACTAGTAAAACATCAAATAACTTCAATGCACAAAGGGGGAAGACAGATTTGGTAGCTTCAAGAGTGGGGTTCTGTGTTGCTGAACTTAAATCTGTAACAACAGCTTCCAATAAATCCTGAACCGATGCAAGAAACCAGCAACAATGCCCCCAAAACAATATTTTCAGTGAAGATAACAGATGCCCACTTTTTTTGAGTGCCAAATATTGATGAAAATGTGCTTCAGAATCCAGTATATCTGCAAAGATTGTTTGAAAGAGGCTGAGTGATCAATACAGAGTAAATGTCTACTTCAGTATGCATCAGAATACCAGAATTCGTCTCAATTTTCGGGTAGGGCTGGTAATGCAATTGCATAAACTAGGCAACAAAAGATGTTTTATGAAAGTAAATCCCTTAAAAGAGAGATATACTAGGATGAAATTGCTTTATAACTTGAAAATTGCCAGTGTATTATGGGGATTATCATAATGCCACCCATTGATGAATCCTGCAAAGATACCTTCAGCTGCCATTGCGTAAACAAGCAAAGCATTCATACCAATCCATTCCAATGTTAGAAACAGGTAAGTCAAATTCCAAATATGAACCTGCCAAAGAAAGAGGCTGAATCTTTAACTGACACTAGCATAAAGAGTCTGAAACCACCTCAAACAACGTTTTTTTTATTTTCTTTTTCAGCAGCGAGGTTGTAATGTAGAATTATCATATTCAAAAATGATAAAGTGTACCAGAATGCAGAAAGTCGAGAATACAAATGCTGCTGCTCCAGACATTACACGAACATAGCCGAAAGTGTAAAACTACTTATTTAAAGGAATGTCTGCAATTAAACAAATGAAATAAGGAAGGATACAAAGCAAAAATCAACGAAGAACTTCCATACATTTCAGGCTCTTCAATTCGCACAATCAGTAAAATGAAGGGTAATACCTAATCAGAAGAGCAAGACCCGAGACAATTCAATGTCAAAGTCTAGTTGGATGATCCTAAAATCACGTATATGAAATTTGATTATAAATGCCATAAAATTTGTATAAAGCACAGTAAAGACCAATTTAGGAGAGGCCATGTGTACCAGAACATGTCCAAGGAAAGTGCCTCTGCTTTTCTCTCCATTATTTTACTTCCCTTCGTATTTATCTAATTTTCTCCTAAAAGTACCAATTGATGTTAAATCTGTAGTTACCCCACCAACCATCACAAAGTCTCTCAAGTTAAATCATTCTGCACCTAACAAGTTGTTAACAAAACACTTGTAATTATTTGGAGAACACTCGTAATGATTTGGAAGGGAATGTTAGAAATGAATTTTTTGAATGTTAGGAATTTCAACGACTTATTAACAAATAATTTGTGGGAATTCTCATTCTTTATTCTGCACCAACCATTGTTGAAAATTGACTCGGGTACATTGTCCTAAATCTAACAATTTAAATCATGAATCTCATCGACAATCTCTAGACGCAAACAGTAAAAATGTAATCTAACAGCTTAGCTCGCAAACTAACAGTATTAGAAAAAACGTGTACAAAATTATGATGTTCAAATAGATCATATCATATCATCTACACACACTACTACCTTATCTGGAATTCTTTGCTAGAGTAGATTAAAATAACAAAATAACGAAACCTTAAATGAATGGAAAAACAAGTCTTACGACCAGGCTTGAATCTAACACTACACACGAGCGTAACAATATAATACAATAAGTTTCATATTACGCAATATGGGCTATTTGGCCATGCATGGATGAAGAGAAATATTATATGACAAATTTCAGACTATTTGTTGTAAAAATGCCAAAAAATATGTTAATCATAGCATATAATACTTGAACGAATCTTTGTTTCTTCCTGAATTTTATCAATAACCTGGATTTTTATTTTTTTTAAATAACTACAACAAGAGTTTGGACGACGTAACGATATTTGCACATGTTCAGCTTTCTGGAAAAAAAATTAAATAAATTTCTAAAGTCACGTAAATATTGCTCCAATTAGCTTATCGAATCCAGACACTGCCTCAAAGTTGCATAGAAAACGTTAAAATGAAGACTAAAAACAACAAATGCTCAAACAAAAGGCCCTAGTAAGCCAGGAACCGATCTCTGTTTTTATCACATGATATATGCACTTCTACCGAAGGGTCCAATTCGATGCCCTAGTCATACCTCGTTTCATTTTATCTCCTTCGATTTCTGCAATTTCTACGTTCGAGTAAATAGTAGTTTGCTGATTATTATGCAAGTACTATGATTCGGTAAGTCGTTACTCTAGTATTTGTTGGTTCCGAAGTTTATGTGAGCTGTATGATGGTTGTACCAAAACAAATTAATGTTTAACCCGCAGGAGCGTGATCAAACTATCGATATATGACTTGAAAGTGTAGTACAAAACCACAAAATCAAAGTATCAAAATGAAACAAGAAAAGGAGAAGAAAAAGAAATGAAATCCGAGGCAAGTGATGGCACTTCTCCTTAAGACAATATTGTCCCGCTATGGTACTCACGGTTGACGGCACTTGTCTTCCAAGATACAACGGATATTTAATTTTGTGATAGCAACACTTCACACCACAAGAATCGGCGAACCGACGGAATTTCCCCCTCTACAAAGGGATTTTATGCAAGAAAAAGGGAGAGAGATTTTGTAATAGAAAAAGAGTGCTCAATGCAAAATATGAGTTGGTGTACCCTTAGGAACGTCCAAGGGGTCCTATTTATAGAGGAGGAAGGGGTGTGGATGAAGTGGTGTGAGCCAAATCGTGCAATCTTTCGAATAGTTGTAACATTCCATTTTCGCTAGGTTTTCGCTCAAGCAGCGCTTCAAAAATCTGAGCAGAACATACTTCACTCGCTTTTTGTTCGAGCGAACATCGACCGACAGTGTATTTTAGCCCTTTTCCACCGTATTTTCCTCCAATCTTTGGACCGCAATTTCTCATTCACCCGGAATTGGTTTCTAATATCCAAATATACTATGATTATCTACTCGATGAGTAGAACAAGTTTGCCTTTTTATTTTTGTAATTTGACCATCGGATCAAGTTCGAATATTCGGCCGAAATTGACACGTTAGTCACACTTTCTGATTTTAATTTTTACTTAACCAATTTCCGATCTTTCCTGTTAATTTGGAAACCAATTTCCAACAATCCCCCACATGAATGGAAATTCGAGTATGCAAATGATATGCGACATGATACATGCAATTGTAGAGAGAGAGCGGAGAAATATTGCATTGGGCAAAGTAGCTTCCGACTTTGAACTTTCCCTAGTGAAATATCATTGAGCTTACTTGGCTAGTTGTGAACGTGATGTCTTGAACCAACCAGCCGTTAGTGTAAGCCAAGACAACAATACTCACACAATTTCTTCCCTAATTCTGTTCTTGGTTCTCATGACTTGGTTCATTTTGGCCCTAAACCCCTCTTAGTTCTGCAAGTGTTTTAGAGAATTTAAGCGTTGAATAATTTTCATTGAAGCGACCTCACTTCACACTCACATAGGTGACCTCCTATTAAGAATATTCTGCTCTACTCCACTTGACTTAATCAAGATATAGGAATTATTAAAAGATTATCTTAACCTCTTCCAA